GCCACCCATTTTGCCGCAAGACCCCGTTGGCGACTGGCTGGACCTCGGTGAGACCTACCAACTGCAGCTGCAGGCCAGGACAAGGAAATGCAAGAGGAGACGATGTGCGTCTCAAGAGGTGAACACCAACCAATTTGGCCGCACCTTTGAGGATCGGCGGGGCCTTCAGCACAGCTCGCACAGCATCGCATTATTTAGGGGCCCAACTCGTCCAAGGACCCACACCTTTGCGGTCAGGTCAGAGACACATCTTTTCATGCCTCATATGTGCAGCCTGTGCAGCGTGAGCATGCTGAGTCCACGCCCAAGCAATGTTCCGAGCTCGGCGCGCATCATGAACTACAACGCCCGCTAGTCAGCTACTGCCGAAGTGTTCACTGAGCACCGGCTGTGTGGGCTAATTCTATAGCTTTAAAGGTCCGCGGCCGGCGTGGCAACATCGTCCAGGCATTGTTGCAACTTTAGCTTCCAAACAGAAGCTGTAACAGTGTGTAAATGATTTGCTTGGGCTTTGCTTGGGCAGGTCTATCCTTCCGTGGAGTATGACTTTGTTCCGCAGGCCAATCAACGTTAACATGGTGAAATTTGTCAGAGAGATGTCCTTTCAGGACCTGACCATCTCGGTGGGTGACTATCTGCATTTTCAGTGGACCCCAAAAGCTGCGATGTCCCGCGGTCCTGCGTGTTTCGAAGTCATCCGACAGCTTGTTGCGCCCTGCAGGACAGGATCCGATGCCAATGCCAAGGCTTTCACGACTTCCGGACTGAGCTGTGAAGTTCGAAGTTCAGAGTTCGAAGCAGCGCAAGGGCAACGACGGCAACGGCCGGCAGAGTACGGACCGCTCCAACCTTGTCCAGGTCGCGGACCGGGAGGCCGGGAATGGCCGGGAGGCTGTGAGAGCTTTGACAGGAAATGTGGAGAGTCTTCCTGGAAGGAGACAGTCCCCCTGCCATGGTCGCAGCACACCCTGCAAGCAGCCCAGATAACGGGAGCACAAGGGAAAGTCCATTGCATTCCATTGCAAATTGCACCCATCACCGGAGGTTGGCAGATGCTGCCGCGCAGCCCGAAGCTGCCAAGGAGCTGGCTCTCAGGCGCCAATCTCAAAGACACTTCTTGCTGCTGCGCGCTGCTGCGCGCTGCTGCACGTTGTGGTTCCACTGTGAGTCTGAGCAGAGCACACTTCCAACATTCTACGGACGTGGCATGCTTGCGCATGTGCCAAAGCGCGCGTTGCGCGCAGAGTGTGCGCAGACTTCGGAGTGGCCTCAGCGTGGACAGTGACAGTGTGATATCTAGGGAACAGCTGCCTGAAGCAAAGACCCTTCAGGTTTGCGTACCTTGACCAGTCGCCGGAGCTCTGCGATGTGGAGGAGAACAATCAGAACAGCGTCCAGAACTGCAAACAGCTGAATGGCGAGCTCGGCGCAGCTTCGCAGCCTACCCTTTACCTTAAGCGGTTGGCAACTTGCGGTTGGCGTCGTTGTCTTCGCTGCCAGGGGCCTCCGCTTACTTCGACGGTGGCCTGGTGGAGATGAAAAGCGTGGGCAGACACCAGGTTCGCCGGTTCGCGATTACGCCAAAGGCCCAGACCAGAGTTTTCATGTCAGAACAAGGTCGTGAGCACACGCAACAACGACTTTTCCAATAGGTCGCAGAAGGTCGGAGGAACGGAGGAACTTGTTGAAAGGCCTGAGTTTCACCAAGCGCTGGCCAGGCCACAATCACCGTGGTCCCTCGAAGCTGGAGCTGGGAGGAGGTGCGAGAGAAAGAGAGAAGAAGAAGAGAGAGGTGGAGAGACCTTCCTTATATCTAGGCAGTGCCCCCACTGAAACCGAGAGGGGTATTGACCCAAACAGCCCAACACGGGCTGGGCATCGAAGCCCGGGGACAGGTACGCCCTGTCCCCATAGCCCGACCGAAAGAAAGAATTGGGCCACGTTACACTTTCAGGTGGACATGAAAGTTGCCAAACGAGCCAACGTATACCAGAGGGGGAGTAACTAGTCGCCTTCCGCAAGCTGTTTTTCGCAGTTACCCCAAAAGTGATCTGGTGCTATGGTGGCACAACACAATAGGCAAGGCAGCACGTATGCCAGGGATACCACCTGCATGGGAAGCAGCAGTTTCGTGGATTGGGTATTGGGGCCCGTCAAATTCTGCTAACCTCAACCCTACAGCCTCAATCCATCACTAACCAGTAACTAGCCCAGCCGTAAACTTGAGAATTGGATGAGTCTCTTATAAACCCAAACAAAGGTTTCCAGACCGTCTCCACATGTAAGAGTAACAGTCGCCAGGGAAGCTACTGTCCCAATCGCTGGAAAAGGAGTCCGTGAACGAGTCGCTGAGATTCACCGAGAGAGTTTTCGCATTGGTTGTTTCTCTTTGCGGAGGTGCTGATGCTCGTTCTGGGGCTTGTGCTGCTACTGGGGCTAGCAGGCTACTTGTCTGTTGCCGCACGAGCCTCACCGGGACCAGGGGTGGAGATGTCGAAAGCCTGTGTGCCAAGCGCAGCAGCGTTGCAGATGTGCAGATGCTGTGAAAGGTTTATGCCCTGAAGCACCCGAAGTCCTGGCTCTTCTCCAGGAGGAGGGAACTGGGAAGACTGGGTGATGAGTAAAGAAGAATGGGAGCACGGCAGCGGACCGGCAGCGTGGCAGCGTGCTGCAGGTACAGGCCTCGTGTCTTGCGTCGGGATCTCAGTCCAGAAGCTGAAAAAGAGAGCGCCTTTGAGCTGCTTTGAGCCGCTAAGCAGCCAAGCAGCTAGGCTGGATAGTGGGGGAGAAGAGGCTCGCAGAGCAAATCCAGAAGCGCAAGGCTGGAGCCTGGACCTCTTTGAACCAACTCCGCATTCATCGTGGGGAGGAGTGGAAGATTCAAGAGCGGCAGCGCTGGAAAGACTTGGCGAACCCAGGTGGATTGAACAAAAAGAAACACAGCAGCCACAGTTACGCAGTTAGGCAAGTTACGCAGCTGACTTGCAGGTGCGACTGAGCCGGAGGAGGACTGGGGGGAAGACGTGAGACACATCTCAAAAAAACAAGAGATTCGAATGAAATTCGTTGCACTTCAGGCACTGGCTGATGCTGAGCCACCGAGGCACTCCAGTGACCCTCCAGAATGAACCGCAATCATTTTGCCAATCATTGGGCGGTTTTTGTTCGAGAGGGCAAAGCCTTCGCGCTGCATGCGCTGCCTCCTCCTCTTGGGCTTGGGCGAAGGCGGGGCGAGCCAGCCAGCAAAGAAGCAGCGAGAGGTTCAAGGGTGTTACGATGTGTGAGGTCAGCGCCTTGCGATGATCTCCTTGATCCTCCTTAACATCGTTGCTTTCGCCTGGGGCTACTTCTTGCATGTTGGACACTGCACTGCACATCATGCACTTGCACGTCATGCGTTGCATCATGCGCTGCACTTTCACCCAGCCTTGAGATCCATTTTCTAAGGACTTCTGTTGCGGCTGCTGTCTGTTCTGTTCCGTTGCCTTTCTCATCGCAGGATTGGGCTTCGAGGCCAGCTTCGCTTACCCGCTGGCCAAAGGCGCTGGCTTTGCGTCGAGAGCTAAGACAAGTGTGAAGACACTTCATTCAAAACAACAGACAGTGCTCTGAAGTGAGTTCTTTGAAGCATGGTGCAGCAAGGTGAAGCAAGGTGAAGCAAGTGTATAGGTGGACACGTGCTGTGAATCTGGTTCGGCTAAATCCCCTCTCCAACCTCTCCAACTCCCATCCAGCGTGCCCAGCCTGCCCAGCCTTTCCATCTGCCGCTTATCCGGGAAGCCCTTCTGCCACCTGCCGCGACTGCGGCCATTGCCGCGTGTGTGTTTCCTCCCACGAGACCGAACTTGACCAAACCGCTTGAGAGAAAGGAAGGGCGCCCTTCTGCACTTCACTGCCCTTTTCCGCTCGTGCGTCACAGGCGTAACAGACTAGTTTCTGCCCCAAATCCAGTTGCAATTAACTCAGCCGTGGACCCCAATAGCAGGCTTTCTCCACAGGAATTGGATTTATGTTTGGACTGTTTTTATGTTGTTTTTTTTTTTTTTTT